GTATTAATCATAGTTTCTTAAATTCCTGGACTGATAATTCCAACATCCCTACCATATCTGTCTCAGATTCTGATGCTTATTCAGTCTGTTCAAACTTTTTTTTTTTTTTTTCCATTTAATATACCTCATAATTTTATGTTGAAGGGTGGACATGATGTACTGAGTAAAAGAAACTGCCTTTCGTAATGTAGTGGTAAGGTGTTGGGGGAAGAGAAGCATTTTGTAATCTTAAAATTATGGTAAGCCTGTGCTTCTGGACTAAGAACTTAATTAGTTCTTTTTTTTTTCCCCACCTTATGTGGGACAGGATGGCTAGAAGGGGCTGGAGTAGGATATTTCCCGTTCCCTTAGTGGAAGGCTAGAGCTGGCTAGAGTTTGGTATTTCCTTTCCCAAGGGTAGGTTAGGCTCTGGTAAAATGTTCCCCTGAGGGCAGGCCTTGTTAAGAATGGAATACTCTGGTCTATTTTAAAAAATGGCTATTTTTATCTTAGACCTTCCAAAAACACAGGGGAAGTTTTCTCCAATACTCACTCTGAAAACAGGATAGAGCTCCTGAAGGTGAAACTCACAGAACCCTAGGGACACCCAAGACCAGAGTTTTGAACCACAGACTTGTCCACACTGAGCTTCCACCTATTCAATTACAGCGCAAGTTCTCCTGTCCCAGCACTGGTTCCTGCAGAGGTTTCTGCTTGTGGGTTTCTCTTCTGGTGAGCTGTCACTCACCGTATCTTCCTGTCTCATTTTGGGGGCAGTTGTTTGCCCTGTTACTGCACTTCTCTGAGGGATCTTACAAGAGTTTAGTTTGTTCAACTTTTCACTTGTTGTTAGGACAGAGTAGTGACTTTTTTTTTTTTTTTTTTGAGACGGAGTCTCGCTCTGTGGCCCAGGCTGGAGTGCAGTGGCGCGATCTCGGCTCGCTGCAAGCTCCGCTTCCCGGGTTCACGCCATTCTCCTGCCTCAGCCTCCCGAGTAGCTGGGACTACAGGCACCCGCCACCGCGCCCGGCTAATTTTTTGTATTTTTAGTAGAGACGGGGTTTCACTGTGGTCTCGATCTCCTGACCTTGTGATCCGCCCGCCTCGGCCTCCCAAAGTGCTGGGATTACAGGCGTGAGCCACCGCGCCCGGCATAGAGTAGTGACTTCTAAGATCCTTGTAAGTCAGACTGGAAACTGCAAGTCTCCCTGCCATCATTTTCCATAATTTCCTTCTTCCTGTACTGACCTTAAATAACGTTGGCGACAGAAGATATTGGGCCGTTTTCCCAAGAAAAGAGTGAATACATCTAAAAACTTTCCTTTGAGTATATTACTTGCTGGTTTATCAAATGAATCCTTTATTACATCAAGAATGAAACCTTGGTGGCTCATGCCTGTAATCCTAGCCCTTTGGGAGGCTGAGGCGGGCAGATTGCCTGAGCTTAGCAGTTCGAGACCAGCCTGGGCAACACGGTGAAACCCTGTCTCTACTAAGATACAAAAATCAATGAATCAATCAAACCATTAGCCAGGCGTAGCAGTGTGTGCCTGTAGTCCCAGCTACTCGGGAGGCTGAGGCAGGAGAATTCCTTGAACCTGGGAAGCAGCGGCTGCAGTGAGCCAAGATTGTCACTGGACTCCAGTATGGGTGACAGAGCGAGACTCTGTTTCTTTTTTTTTTTTTTTTCCGAGATGGAGTCTCCCTCTGTCCCCCAGGCTGGAGGGCAGTGGCACGATCTTGGCTCACTGCAAGCTCCGCCTCTCGGGTTCACGCCATTCTCCTGCCTCAGCCTCCTGAGTAGCTGGGACTACAGGCGCCCGCCACCACGCCCAGCTAACTTTCTATATTTTTTAGTAGAGACGGGGTTTCACCGGTGAAACATGTTTCACCGTGTTAGCCAGTGATCTGCCCACCTCGGCCTCCCAAAGTGCTGGGATTACAGGCGTGAGCCACTGCACCCGGCTGAGACTCCGGTTCTTAAAAAAAATGATAAAAAGAAACCTTGTATCTATAGGCTTTTAATAAGCACTGAATTTCCTCAAATCCATTTGGCATCTATTAAAAAGAGTATGGAGGTGTAGGAGATGGGAAGAGGTGAGGTGACTGAGGAAGGGAAGTGGGTGAAGGGACATGTAATTAGCATTCTACTTTTATATCTTCAACATTGTTTTCTTGATTGTGTTTTTTTACTCTCATTGTTGTGAGAAATCATATGGCAAATAATACACTAAATCTGTGGAATTAACCCCATTTTTTCTTTTTTCTTTTTAATTGACACAATCACTGTACATGTTTATGAAGTACAATGTGATGTTTCAATACATGTATACATCGTATAATGATCATATAAAGTTAATTAGCAAATCCATTATCTCAAACGTGTATCATTTCTATGTGACAAGAACATTAAAAACTTCTCTCTTCTATTTTGAAAGATACTTACTAACTATAATCACCCTACCATGCAAGAGAACACTTGAGCTTATTCTTCATATCTAATGATAACATCGTACCTGTCCAACAACCCCCCCCTTTTTTTTTTAAAGACAGGGTGACATTCTGTTGCCTGAATTCCTGGGTTCAAGCAGTCCTTCCACGTTACTCTGCCAAGTAGCTAGAAGTACAGATGCACACTACTATGCTTAAATTTTTTTTTTTTTTTTGGTAAAGACACAGGTCTCACTTTGTCACTGTGTTGTTCAGGCTGGTCTCAAACTCCAGGACACAAGTGATCCTCCAGCCTCAGCCTCCCAAAGTGTTCAGATTACAGGCATGAGCCACACCCGGCCCCAACAGCTTTTTCTATTTTTTTTTTTTAAATGTCCAGGTTCACTTGGTATATTTCAGTTCCCAACAAATTTCCTTGAAGCACTGCTAGATGAAGCCTTATCTACTGCAGTGGATTTTTATATCTGATCTCTGGTCTTTGATACAATTTTTACCCTAAGTATAATGAGCGTGTTCTTGTGTCTTATATCAATATTTTCTTCTGTGTTCTCTTTCCCTATTTCTATCCTCAGTTCCTCACGTTACATCTACAGGGCTCTTATTTAGGTACTCAGTAGATACAGAGTTGGTTTAAAGAAGAGGCAAGAAAGGAATTTAAAGTTTTATCTGTATTGACATAATTATTTTAATAGCTGTCTCACTGCCTTCCCTATCTTAATCTTTCATGTATCTTGTGTACCTACTGTATAGGTACAGATCTTGATCCACTGTTGAGAAATGAATTAAATACTTCATCAAAGAAATGTACATTCTACTTTTCCTTAAAAGCTTACAGTGAGAGTGATAACAGATAACATTTTTCCCAAAGTGTCAATGTACATTTGACTGAAATGAAAAATACATTTTTAGATGTTACTGGGAATTTTAAACTTATGTAAAAGTTGTTAGTACAAAGAATGCCCACATTCATCTTTGCTTATACCCATTTGCCTTATCATTTGATGTATGATTTTTTTTCCTGAAACATTTGAGAATAAGTTTTATATATTATGGCCTTTTACCGCTATACACTTAAGTGTAGGTTTCCTAAAGATATGAATTTTTTTTTTTTGAGATGGAGTCTCGCTCTGTCACTCAGGCTGGAGTGCAGTGGCACAGTCTTGGCTCACCGCAACCTCTACCTCCAAGGCTCAAGCGATTCTCCTGCCTCAGCCTCCTGAGTACCTGGGACTACAGGTGCATGCCACCATGCCCGGCTAATTTTTTTTTTTTTTTTTTTTTGAGACAGAGTCTCACTCAGTTGCCCAGGCTGGAGTGCAGTGGCGCGATCTTGGCTCACTGCAAGCTCCGCCTCCTGGGTTCACGCCATTCTCCTGCCTCAGCCTCCTGAGTAGTTGGGACTATAGGCGCCTGCCACTACTCCCAGCTAATTTTTTTGTATTTTTCATAGAGACAGGGTTTCACTGTGTTAGCCAGGATGGTCTTGATCTCCTGACCTCGTGATCTGCCTGTCTCGGCCTCCCAAAGTACTGGGATTACAGGCGTGAGTCACCGTGCCCGGCAATGTTTTGTTTTCTTAGTAGAGACAGGGTTTCTCCGTGTTAGCCAGGCTGATCTCAATCTCCTGACCTCGTGATCCGCCTGCCTTGGCCTCCCAAAGTACTGAGATTACAGGTGTGAACCACTGCGCCTGGCCAAGAGTATGAATGTATTTTTAAGGAGACATTTCGTATTATTTCAAAATTCTGTTCCCATTTAAAAATGATGAAGTCCATTGTTAAAATTTAGCATGGAGAAAATTAGGGCTTATGTTTGGCAAACACATTTGATATTAAGACACTGTATTTTTCTTTACAACTTTCATTTTAGGTTAAAGGTTACTCATGTTACATGAGTAAATTGTGTGTCATGGGGGTTTGGCATACAGATAATTTTGTCACCCAGGTAATCAGCATAATGCCCGATAGGTTTTTAATCCTTACCCTCCTCCCACCTTCCACCCTCAAATAGGTCCCAGAAAAGACATAATTGTATCAAATATGAGCTTCATAATAGTTCAGAGGGTAGAGTTGGAGTGAGGATCATAGGCTAGTTTTCAGAGAAACTGCTTTTTTTTTTTTCATTTAGAGTAAGTTACTGTAAGATGTTCCAAAGGCACTAAATGAACAGAATCTAATGTCTTTGTGCAATCTGATGAACACTTGCAGTGTTTAGTAGCAGCATTATGAAATTGCCATTTTTAGATAATTCTGGCAGTAAGTACCATTTAAATGGTAGTGAAGAAGACTAGCAACCTGTTCTTCACAAATACTTATCTTTCTGATAGCTCTATTTTCCCCGCTCTTTCAATTACTTATATTTACTCTTTCTCCTTATTTACCTATATCTCTATCTCTATTGGATCTTTTCTTAAGTTCTGGGCATACTACTCAATATTTCAGTCACAGCTGTGAAAGCTGTTACTGATATGATTTTTAAAAACTTCATTCTGTTGCTAAAGAAGGGAGAAATGGCCTTATTTTATTCAATACAGGAAAAATGAACATTCACTTCTTTTTGGTATCTTTCAGTTTCAGAGTCAAGGGGTGACATCAAAGACTTTTCACCAAAAAATGTCATTTATGATGACTCATCCCAGTATTTGATCATGGAAAGAATTCTAAGTCAAGGCCCTGTGTATTCCAATTTTAAAGGAGGCTGGAAATGCAAGGATCATACAGAAATGCTGCAAGAAAATAAGGGATGTATTAGGAAAGTAACAGTCTCTCATCAAGAAGCCCTGGCTCAACATATGAATATCAGTACTGTGGAGAGGCCCTATGGATGCCATGAGTGTGGAAAAACTTTTGGTCGACGCTTTTCCCTGGTGTTACACCAGAGGACTCATACTGGAGAGAAACCATATGCATGTAAGGAATGTGGCAAAACCTTTAGCCAGATTTCAAACCTTGTGAAACATCAAATGATACATACTGGAAAGAAACCCCATGAGTGTAAGGATTGTAATAAAACATTCAGTTACCTTTCATTTCTTATTGAACACCAGAGAACGCACACTGGGGAGAAACCTTATGAATGTACTGAGTGTGGAAAGGCCTTTAGCCGTGCCTCCAACCTCACTCGACATCAGAGAATTCATATAGGAAAGAAACAATATATATGTAGGAAATGTGGGAAAGCATTTAGCAGTGGCTCAGAACTCATTCGCCACCAGATTACACATACTGGAGAGAAACCTTATGAATGCATTGAATGTGGGAAGACATTTCGCCGTTTCTCACACCTTACTCGACATCAAAGCATCCATACAACCAAAACCCCATATGAATGTAATGAATGTAGGAAAGCTTTCCGTTGTCACTCATTCCTTACTAAACATCAGAGAATTCATGCTGGAGAAAAGCTCTATGAATGTGATGAATGTGGTAAAGTTTTCACTTGGCATGCATCCCTTATTCAACATATGAAGATTCATACTGGAGAGAAACCCTATGCATGCACTGAATGTGATAAAGCCTTCAGCCGGAGCTTTTCCCTCATTCTACATCAGAGAACTCATACTGGAGAGAAACCCTATGCATGCACTGAATGTGATAAAGCCTTCAGCCGGAGCTTTTCCCTCATTCTACATCAGAGAACTCATACTGGAGAGAAACCCTATGTATGTAAGGTATGCAACAAATCCTTCAGCTGGAGCTCAAATCTCGCTAAACATCAGAGAACACACACTCTTGACAACCCCTATGAATATGAAAATTCATTTAATTACCACTCATTCCTTACTGAACACCAGTGAATTTACACTGCAAAGAAAAACTACGAATGTATGAAATTTTTTTAAAAGAAGTATAATGCCTTACTTTTATTTCGGAGAACTCTTGGAAAGAAGCCTTATGTGAGAGTGATGAATGTGAAGTAATATGGCCCACAATTTATTCAACATCCTGGAGGAAAAAAACCCAGAAATATGTGGAAAAGCCATTAATAACCGCTCTTTTTCTTTTTTTTCCCAATAACAAGGTGAAATCGATATTGTTGAGAAGATTCTTCTTCCATCTGGAAATATTGAGAAGACTTCATTTGGTAGGATTCCCTTACTCTACATGTGTAAATTCCTACCAAGAAAGAATACATATCCAATAGATTGGAGAAAGCCAGAGATTATTAGCCCTCATTCTGCAACTGTCAACCAGGACAGAATGCATGGGCAAGGGATGAGCTTTACAAAGATGTACTTTGGAGATCAGGATATTCATGTTTAAGTGATACAAACACAGTGATTCGGGAATGCCTTCATTTACAATGCAATACTTAATACTCTCATACGAGAAAAAGCAACTGTATAAAAGAATGTAGAGTAACTGCAATATTTCAAACCTGTATCAGAGAACTACACTGTGGGAAAACTACCATTGTAACAAGTGTAGCAAAATCATCTTAGATATCTGAAAAATCATACTGGATGGAATCTGTGAGAAAGGGTTCTATTTTGAGGGAAGGGGGATTGCTTTTTGTTTTTTAAGTGAATTCAGAAAATGTTATAAATAAATCTTTTGGTTTATTATAAACCTTCTACTTCCTGATTTTTTCCCACAGCATGTGATTCCGAAAGTGTAACTACAATATTGACATAAAAAAAAAGAGTAGTGTGTTTTTTTTGTTGAAACATACAAACATAACTAGAAGTGTTTTTAGGTGTTTTATGGTTTTAACTTTCAGACCGAGTTTGGATTTAAGGTAATGCTAACTGACAGTTATCCTTGAATCTGACTATAGACAGTTGTTATTCAGTGTGAAATAAGTATAAATAAGATACATCACAGAAAATTACCAAGGTACTCCTCCTGTTTTGTTCCATGTACAGTAAAACCACTCTTTTGTAAGCATGTGTTTAAAACTGTTCTGGCATTATCAGCTGCCCAGCTGGCAAAGCTCACACCATCAGGGTGAGTTGGCTTTAATGAGGAAGGTAAGCAATTTTATTTTGTAGAAAGAGAAGTAGAGAATATGAATAGGAATGAATTTAGCATTAATGGCTGCATTGAGGGCACATTTGTAGAAGGTGTTATTAAATACAAGTAGTTTTGTAAGATCTGAAATTTATAAAAGTTTTAGCCCAAAAACACCTTATTTACATGAACTAGAGTTCTAAATACATTATTGGAGGTATATTTCTTCAAACCTGCCATTGGCATGCCATATTGGTACATACATTTAGAAGCTTCTCAACTTTCCATAAGAGTTGTTCAGGAGGGGCTGATTTATCTTACAATAGTGTACAGTCAAATACAAGCAGCATGCCTTACTACATATGGGTATGTAATACTTGATTTGGTTTTCTCAGGCAGCAATGGTTTGTATCAGGGTAAAAATCAAGTTACACTGTCAACAGTATTAGGATATGAAAAACTCATTTATTTATTTATTTAAGGGTATACTGGATTTCTCCCATTATCTGCTCCACATCTACTCTCCTTCCTACTGTTTACTCTGTGGGGATGCACCTCATGAACTATATTAGAGGTCATCAAGCTACAGCCCATGGGCCAGGTATTTCATTTACATAGTCTATGGCTCCTTACCGCTACAACTGAAGAGTTTAATATACTGCCATAAAGGCTAAACATTTACTATCTAGCCCTTTACAGAAAAACTTGGCCAACCCCTGACTACATCAAATCTTTGCGCTCTAGTTTTTGTTTAGTGCAGCCAACATTGAGAACGTTTATTTTGGAGCAATCTCCAATTGAGCAAAGTGACACAAACAATGATTTTGGAATGCCTTCATTTACAATGCAATGCTTACATTTTAATACTCTTGTAGGAGAAAAAGCAACTATAAATGAATGTAGAGTGACTTTCTGCAGCATTTTGAACCTACTTCAGAGAATTACACTGTGGGAAAACTACCATTGTAATGAGTGTAGCAAAATCTTCTTAGGTATCTGAAAAGTCATACTGGATGGAATCCAGTGTCCAATCTTTTGGCATCCCTGGGCCACAATGGAAGAACTGACTTGGGCCACATATAAAATACATGAACACTAATGACAGCTATCAGTTATTGTGGCTCAAGAAAATTCTTCTGGTGTAGCCCAGGGAAGCCAAAAGATCGGATACCCCTGATTTAGAGGGAGATGTAAATACTAGAATGAATTATTATTATGTTCATTTTGTTCCCTTAGCCAGAGAAAGGCCAAAAGACGCTCCCATCAGGGTATTAAGAAATACATTGTACCACTATCCTTGGACAACTGTGTGGTACCTACCCTCTCTAGACTGTAGATGATGCAGAACTTCTATAATGAAAGTAAGATCCCAATTTCAGTAGAGATCATGGGATCTTGGCATGGGAGGGGTTGGGTAAAATTCGCACCAGAGTCCAGGGGATGCACTGGTAATGAGAATTTTAACCATAGAGGTGGCAATGGCTAAATGATCATGGGGTTCCTAGAAATAAATGGATAGGCCACAAATGTACTATCTGACATATGGTTGAAGCCAGTGCAGTCTTAAATATTCTCAACTGAGGGAGAAGCAGGTCCCTTTAAGAAAGACTATTGCAGTAGGGGGCAGGGGGCTCATATGTATACTGTGAAAAACTGCTAACTTCTATTTTCATACTGAGCTAAAATATCCTTCAGAAATAAAAATGTTTCGGAATAAAAACAATGGAGGAAACATGGCAGCATGCTTATGCTGAAAGAAATACTAGTTTTTCAGGCAGTATGAAATCTTAGAAACTTGGAAATGCAGAAATAAAGAAGTAACACTGGAGGGGCAAATATGTTTATAAATACAAGTCAAGTGTTGGGAAATTATGGTCTAGGGACCAAATCAAGGCCTTTAAGCTAAGAATGATTTTAACATCTTTAAAAAGCTGCTTAGAAAAATAAGAATATGCAACAGTGACCATATATGGCCTGCAAAACCTAGAATATTTACTCTCTGGACCTTCAAAGTTTGTCACAACTCTGATAGAAATATTGACTTTACGTAAGAGTATCTGGTGGACTATAAAATACACATCAAACTAAATAGCACAACAATAGCACAAGAAAGGAGGAAGACGGTTAAAAGATGAGTCTGGGAACACTGTGAAAGTAGTAAAAGTATTAATTTGGCTCTCATAATCTGGGGGCTGGTTAAGTGTGTTCTATTTGGGGAAATTCGTAAAGCTGCATGCCTTTATGAATTATTATGTATTATGCTTCAGAAAAAAAAGTTTTTTTAAAAGAACTCTCCCAGAAGATTAATCTTCAGCATTGGAAAAAGAAGTTACTATGAATGCAGAAAGGGGATAGAGCAGTAGATGCAATCAATATTAGTAAAGAACAGTCGTGGGAGAATGACCACAATTCTGTATTTTTTTGGAAAGCAACAATCAAATGCTTTGGGAAACTTAAGATACTCACAAATAGGTAAAGCTGGGTTAACTTTTGTTGCTGTGATGTGCCCAAAAGAATTTTCTATGATACCTCAATGTTTCTAAGGACAGGGGGCTAAGTGATTCATGCCTGTAATTCCAGTACTTTGGGAGGCTGAGGCAAGCAGATCACTTGAGGTCAGGAGTTTGAGATCAGCCTGGCCAACATGGTGAAACCCTATTGCTACTAAAAATACAAAATATTTGCTGGGTGTGGTGGTGCATGCCTGTAATCCAAGCTACTTGTGGAGGCTGAGGCATGGAGAATTGCTTGAACCCAGGAGGTGGAGGTTGCAGTGAGTCGAGATTGCACCACTGTACTCCAGCCTGGGCGACAAAGCAATATTCCATCTCAACAAAACAAAACTAGAAAAAGAAAAAGAAAAAGGACAGGAAATTTGTTAAATCCCTCTGAAGAGATCCAAGAAATTTCAGAGCAAAAAGAGGTACCAAAACCTGCATATTGGGTACCAGTGATTTGGAAGAAAGGGTCCAAGTCCTTAGCAATAGTTTAAAAAGTCTGCCTTTAAAAGGCAGGACACAGACAAAGTGGCAAAAACAGTAAAAAAATTATCTGGTATGTTAACAATTCTTTAAAAAAAAAAAAAAAAAAAGGCAGAAAGATTGCTTGAGCCCAGGAATTTCATACCAGCCTAGGCAATGTAGTGAGACCCCATCTCTACAAAAAATATAAATAAAAAATTATCCAGGTGTGATAGCACATGCCTGTGGTCCCAGCAACTGAGGAGGCTGAGGTAGGAGGATCACATGAGCCCAGAAGGTTGAGGTGGCAGTGAGTTGAGACTGTGCCACTACACTCCAGTATGGGCAAGAGTGAGACACTGTCTCAAAAAAAAGGGAGAAATAAATATTACAGAAATAAGTTTTTAAAATAAATTCTGCATCATGAATACCCACAATATCACAAAGGACAAAATTACACAGAAAAAATGGATATTGCATCAAAAAATATTTTAGAAAAATCAAAACTTCCATGAAACTGTGCTCATAGGTGGAAAATATAATTTTATGTGTTTGACATGCATTTCTTAAGTTAGAGGTGAATTTAAGTCGTGACATGCATTAGCCATGAATTTCCTGTTTATGTTAAAACAAATCTCATTGTCTTTTAAAAAGTGAATGCAACTTATGAAAAGAAAAAGGAAACCCAATAACTATAGAAAATTAAAAAATAAAAATTAAAAAGTGAATGCTAAGGAAATTAGTTTTCGGCATTCAAATTTCATACATGAACTATTGCAAATAAAAAGCTTCCTAGTCTCTCAAGATTTTTTTATACAAAAGTGTGATCTTTTTATTTTTATTTTTTTTTTGAGACGGAGTCTCGCTCTGTCGCCCAGGCTGGGAGTGCAGTGGCCGGATCTCAGCTCACTGCAAGCTCCGCCTCCCGGTCGCCACTGCTCCGCCTCAGCCTCCCGAGTAGCTGGGATTACAGGCGCCTGTCACCTCGCCCGGCTAGTTTTTGTATTGTTTTAGTAGAGGACGGGGTTTCACTGTGTTCGCCAGGATGGCCTCGATCTCCTTGACCCGTGATCCGGTCCGTCTCGGCCTCCAAAGTGCTGGGATTACAGGCCTTGAGCACCGCGCCCGGCCAAAAGTGTGATCTTTTTAAAACAAATAATTTCAATCTTTGAAAAATGTAAGGCGGGCGCGGTGGCTCAAGCTGTAATCCCAGCACTTTGGAGGCCGAGGGTCGTGGATCACGACGGCAGGAGATCGAGGACTGTCCTGGCTAACATGGTGGGAAACCCCGTCTCTACTAAATAATACAAAAAACTAGCGCGGAGTGGTGCGGGCACGCCTGTAGTCTCAGTACGGGTGGGACGGCTGGAGGCCGGGGAGAATGGGCGTGAAACCCGGGAGGCGGAGCTTGCAGGTGAGCTGAGACACGCACTGCACTCCAGCCTGGGAGCACAGCGAGACTCCGTCTCAAAAAAAAAAAAAAGAAAAATGTAAATACGCTTCTTAACTCTCAAATAAAGCTATACACCATGTTCATAGCTGGCAAGGTCTTTTATTATCTGGCCCTGCTCTTTCATTCTGGTGTTTGTCATATATCTTCTCTTACGCTGTTTTGCCCCTAACCGTTCTTCCAGTTACTGGATTTACTTTAGTTCCACAAATATGTTCAATCCCTTGATGAGTCCTTTGTGTCTCTTGCTGTTCTATTTAGAAAGCTTCTTCTTCTGTCCCTCCGTCCCCCTGCCATCGGAGCCGGAATAAGGAG